GCTACAGCCCACTTCTTCGGATGCATCCGAAGAAGTGGGCTGTAGCCCACGAAAGCTTATGCTCAAATAAATTTGTTAGTCTCTAAGGTGCCACAAGTCCTCCTGTTCTTTTTAAATATTCACAATACAGTAAAGGAAAACTGAGTAAGCCTATAAACACACATCTCAGAGTTTTGATGAAATCACAACCCAATTTAGCTTCTTTTACATGGTTACCATGATGTCATCAGAACCCAATTATGTCTGTGCATAACAACATAGATCATAGTTACCTGTGTAGTAAGTGTGGTTAAAGAGACACTGTTAAGACTGATTGTGGACTGGGTACTGAAATATACAGGAATCCTGCTCCCTGAAGTGACTAAGAGAGCGATATCTTTGTATATTTCACTACTCTGCCTATTCACACAGACAGAATAGAAGGGCTGAGGTAGGGATTTGTTATTATTATTTATTTGTATTATGGTAGCACCTAGAGGCCTTGACCAGGTTGGGGCTCCATTGTGCTAGGCACTGTACAAATGCATAGTAAATGAAAGTTACTGTCCCAAAGCGCCTACAGTTTGGAAACAAGATGTTAACAGATGGGTGGGACAAGCAAGCAGGGTGGAGGAAGGCAAGGCAACAATAATACCATGTATGAGGATAGACTTGGGTGTACAATTCACAGAGGTATTAAGCCAATACCAGCAGCATCAATCACAGTAATCACAATTTTCCCACTTGCTTAGTCACTGTCAAATAGCAGGTTTTGTGCAGGCTTCACAGAAGTGGTGGCTTTTAAGTAGGGATTTGAAGGATGATAATGTAATAAGTGAACATTTTAACAAGGAGATTTTCTCAATATGTAAGGGGCAGCATGGGAGGAAATACATAGATACTTGTTCGTGAAGTGAAGAAATGGGCATTTGAGACTGGCTTTGTTGGAGCAAAGGTGGGGTCAACGTCATGTTAAGATAATATGATGGATCACGAAGGAGCAGCTAAATTGTGAAGGGTTTTGGCAGTTAAGACAAGAAGATTGTTCTTGATGAGGTGGAGTGGGGGGACTTACATTATGAACTGTATAGATAATAGATATTATTATGCAATGTAGAAAATCTGCTTTTATCCTTCTATTTCCTTGCTCCAAAGTGTTTGTGTTTAGTCCAATCCAGCATCTCTGTCTCCTTTTCATAGACTTTCTATCAACATTCATTGTTATTGGTTATTGTAACATTTTATGAACTTTCACCTACTTTCCAACAATGGAGCTCACAATCAGGGTAGGCTTGCTAGACTCCAATTATTACAACACTGGCAACAGAAGCATTTGTTTTACCTTAAAATAAATCCAACTGCTCAGAGACCTCCAAAGGCAAGGAAAAACAATGAAATACATCACCACAAATAGCATAGTCTGCTGTCTTTTTGTGAGGAACAATCGACATCAAACACAAAGGTGCTTTTAAAAATTAAATCCCCCCAAATGGCTTTTGAATCAGCCAAGTCCACTGTTTTTTCTTAGCCAATTAGTGAAAGAGAAATATAAACAGCTAACTCAACTTTAATTTTTAAAATGTATAACTTCTAGCTTTCCCCTCTTCACTCAGAAATAGCCTAAACACCTCTCTCTTTCCTTCCACCTTGGGATCCTCACTTTTACTCTCACAATTGGCTATCTTTGGCAGTGGTGCTGGAACTAGGGGTACTGCTGCACCCCCTGTCTTGAAGTAGTAAAAACAAACACCAAATACATGGTTTCCAATATCAGCACCCCCACTATAAAAATTGTTCCCGCAGTCTTGATCTTTGGTATCTTCCACTGTCAGACCTCTATCTCTCCCTTCACCTGTTGCCTCATGGCTTATGGATGTCTGCAGGGGCAGATGGCCAGACCTCCTTCTTTACTGAGAGCAGTGATTGGAAAGTGCCAGAGGGGAGAACTTAAAAAAAAACCCACCCAAACTATTATTTAATCCAAACTGATTGGGGCAGAAGAGGGAACTCAGGGGGCAAAAACCATGAACATTTCATCCAAAGCAAGATTGTCTTTTAGTTTTGCAGCCTCTCATGTTATATACTTTTATTTGATATCATCTTTAGGTATTTCTCAGCATTTCTGGTTTTGAATAAGCAGGACTGTATTAAACAATGAACAGTGGGGCAGGATAGCAGTCGGCTGAGCTGGGGCTCCAACTGGCTGACTGGTTGACCTGTCCATCATTCCATACTGATGATTTGTGAACCGACTGTCTATGAATCAATGCAGTATCCCCTTTTCCAATCTGATTCTTTAATTCTAAGAATCATCTAAACAAACAGTTTCTGTCCAGCTTTCCTGATCATCAAACTGAACTGTTTATAGCTCATCAGAGTTATTGTTTTCCAAATAAACTGGTGTCCACTTTCACTTTTGGGTAAATTCTCCTTAATTTACTCTTAATACAAGCTGAGAGTCTCACATAGTCATGTGATTCTAGCAGGTGTGGCTTGAAGAAAAAGATATTGAGAAGCTCATGATATACTCATGACAGCTGGCAAAACTGCCTTTGATTCCTATAACAAATGTCTTCTCATTTATTTTTGTCTTTTAGATTATTGAAAATTATTGACTTGTTTTCTATATCCCAAAATAGGGCTTTTTCTATATCTTCTGTATTTATAAATAAAGAATAATTACACCAGCTATTAACTTATTACATATTTTGATTTATAAGAATCTATTTTAGTGCCATCCACCCTTCTCAGCATGCAGCACAAACAATTTTTAAAAGGTCAAGGGACCACAATCAATACTCTACTCAGCTCAGGCAAAGGGATTGGAAACCACCTGCAAATCCCCTGCTGGATTGAAGGCAGCTGCTCAGAGCATTCCACACTCATTAGAACTTTTGCTGGGGCTGCAGGGGAGAAGATGGAGGCAATTGGGGAGGGAGTGTGTGGGGCTGATTCAAACACTTCAGATGAATGATCACAGATTTCGGTGTGATTATTCAGTGAATTTCTGTGTCTTGCACAAGAAGCAAATCACAGAAGAAGACCTCTTTTGTGCCCTCTTACCCCAATTCTGGGTTGCTGGGATCAGGGGACAGTATGGCCCTTGTGTAAGTAAGAGCAGTCTTAGGGGTTGCTCTAATTTATGTCAACCCTGCTTTCATAGTGCTAAGTGTTGCGTAATTCCCCCTCCCATCCCTACACCCTGAGCTGCAAAAGAGCTGTGCAGGGACACAGACTGCTCCTGCCAAAAGAACTCTCACCAAGGCTGCTGTAGCTCATTTCTGTCTTTTGCATGGTATTAGAGCATCTTAAAGGGACTGGAATGGGAGCCATGACCTGTCCCACAAACTTCTAGCAAAAAATTTTACTTGAGTTTCTACCACTTTCAACAAGTAGTGTTCCTATGCCATTATATTCATTTTTAACAGCACACAGTAAATTAGTTGTATCAGATCCTCAGGTAGAGTAAAATGTCACAGCTCCATTGACTTCAACCGAGCTATGATGAATTACATAATTTGAGGATCTAGACCATTGTCTGTTCAGATATTGTTTAGTATTTTACATGCTGTATTTAAATAATTCCCCCCCCCTCCCCCAATAAAGCAATGATTGCAGTGGTTCCTTAGAAAATTTGGTTGACATTTGCAATACTTGCGGAAGACTTCCTGCATGCAGAAAGAGAATATTGCACATTGAAAATGTGTTCTATTTCAACCTATATTATTAATGGTCCCTAATACTTTACACTATAATCCTTTATTTTCAGTTGCTACTATTTTATGCTTAGGTATTTTTTAAGTTTCTTATTTCTGTTTGTTTTGACTTTAGTTTAGTTTACCTTTTTAAAAGCCAGATGTTAAAGTCATGCTACTGAAATATTTGCATTATAAAATGCAGCTTATAGATGGAATATTCTTCCTGTACCCACCTTGGTAATGTCTCTCTAGTTGCATTTCTGACAACTTTGTGTTTTCATTTCCAGCTAAGAACAATATGCCCATTGTAAAATATCCTAGGACCATAGAGCCTCTCTGGATTGAATGGGACAGGAAGGCACAGAAATGTGGATTAAGACATACAATTTATGCTGTCAATAGGGATCACTATACTGGAGAATGGTTGGACAATTTGAAGCATGGTAAGAATATTGCTTACTAGAAGGTGCATTATACATTTATATGTTCTTTATATGTTCTAAGGGGCAGAGACTTTTAACTAATTTTATCTGTTTCTAGAGCACAATCTGTGTGTGTGTATATATATATATATATAATGCAGATTTCTAAAATTTTGCTCAAGCACATTTTCATGTTAAATAAAAATACGCATGTTCTGGTTTGAATAACTGCAAGTCAAACAAATGTTGCTGTGCACATTCATAGCAAAACATTACTTTGAAAATACAGACTATTGCTTTAGTCAGTTATATGCACCTGAAACTACCTTGTATGTATAATAAGAGTACATGATGAGGTGTGGGATAACATTTTTATTGGCATAAATTTCAGTACATTGTCTATTCTGTATATACCACCTAGATTACAGAGGAAGTCGTTAAAAATATTTGAGAACATTTTCAGAAACGTTATTGATACTGGGTGTAATTTTAAAAAGTTCCTAAGTCACTTAGGAACCAGAGTCCCATTCACAGTCAATGGGACTTGTGCTCCCAAGTCATTTAGGTGCTTCTGAAATTTCCACCCTGTGTGTGTGTGTGTCCACTACTTCACATTCTCTTTCCCTGTTTACTGCAGAAAACAAAGTGAAAATATCCACTGGAAACTATGGAATTTTATTGATATTATTTTTAAAAGCACGTATATGTAGCTAGAAGCAGCTGTTGAGAAAAAAATATTAAAAATCATCTTTAATGTGGATGATCTAGTTTTCTTAGATGCCTTTTAGGTGTGGTGAATGGTTGGGGAGTAGTCAGTAGTTTAAGGTGAAGTTAAGATCAAAAGGACAGATCACTAATTTAAGAATAGAAATTTTTATAAGAAGAATACAGTTAGTAAAAAATAGATTAAAACCCCCAAACATTCAAAGTTAAGATTAAATTTACAGGAAACCCAAGCATTAAAGGTATTTGAATTCACTGGTAAGGTACCCTTACTCAGCAGCGGCTCCAGGCACCAGCGCTCCAAGCACGTGCCTGGGGCGGCAAACCGCGGGAGGTGCCCTGCCGGTCCCTGCGAGGGCGGCAGTCAGGCAGCCTTCGGCGGCTTGCCTGTGGGACGTTCGCTGGTCCTGCGGATTCGGCGGCAATTCGGCGGCGGGTACGCTGAAGCCGCAGGACCGGCGCAGGTATGCTGCCGAAGCCGTGGGACTGGGACCTCCCGCAGGCATGCCGAAGGCTGCCTGCCTGCCGTGCTTGGGGCGGCAAAAAAGCTAGAGCCGCCCCTACCCTTACTTACCAATGGATTTTGAGGCCAATGTTACTTTGTTTGGTGATTTTGGTGGTGCAGTGGCAAAATAGAGTTTATAATGAAAGCTCATGTGCAGTCTTAAATATACAGTGACCCTTTGCTCAAAAAATACAAAACAATCCAGAGATTTTGGACATAGGAAGAATTGTTCAACAGTCACAAGTTCATCCTCAGCATTCTCACCCCTGCCAGACTGCGGTGCTCAGGACCTGAACTTGTATCCCTTAAGGCATGTGATACTTCCATACCTGTGCATTGGCCAGGGCTGGGGTTTGAGGCTTATTCAAATAGAGGAATAAATTATAAATGTGTATTAGCAGGGCCAACAAGAGGGGGGGAAGCTGGTACAAATTATCGGAGTCCGCAAGGGGGCCCGGTGTCCGGCTTCCCCCCGCTCTTGTCGGCCCTGTTTAACCAGTCCACCCTTGCTGGGGGGCCCGAAAATTTTTTTTCACCGGTGCCTGAACCCGCTCTCGGCGGCCCTGTGTATTAGTAGCGGGTCGTACGCTTCATAGCTTGTGTATGGCAAGCCCATTGCACACACCAGAGGCTCTTTGCATTCCTCCATTCCCTCTACAAGCTCACTGTGTGCCACCCTCCCATTCCCCTCATTGTCAAGGGACTCCCTGCAACTCCCTTCAGTCCCGCTTCTGCCAGGAGTTCTGTGTGCCTCATCCACCACACATCCCATGCCAAAGTCTCCCATTCTCCACCCCCATGCCAGCAGTTCTGTGTGCACCCCCATTCCTACTACCCCTTAAGTCCTCCATGGCTCTGCATGCCCCCCATTATTTCCTCCTTTGAGGGGGTCCTACATTCTCCTCTCTATGGCAGGGGCTCTGTGAGCACCCCTGATTGTTATTCACCTATTTAAAATGTCTCAGTCATGCAGAAACAACAACATGTAATTTAGAGAAACAATCACACTCAAAGCAAATCTTTGGGAAGAAAAGATGGATTGAAAAGTGTACATCCAAACTACTGGGTGACTGGTTAAGGGTAGAGTTGCAGAAATTAGGGTTAGTTCCTGAACAGTTTGCAAATAGAAAACAATGGTTAAATGCCTCCTATAATTTATATTCACCCAGCTCTCCTGTTCTCCCATGCTTCTTATGGAGGCAGCACCTTAATGGGGCAGGTTTTACATTTTGCAGTGATGGGACTAGGAAACCTTTTTAATTTTTACTGATGTTGCTTGTACATCACAGCAAACCAAGTCAGTATAAATATACAAGATAAACCCAAGGGTGGGAAGAACCCCAAAGTATCAGAGCATAGAGGAACATTCTAAAATGGAGGCACTTATCCAAACCTATGGAGACTCCCACCAGGCCCCACAACCCTCCCACTCCCCTGCCCTAAGCAGGCCTTTACCTCTCACCATCTACTTGGGCAAGCCTAGAGTGCTGCAAATCCTCTCTGGTGTTATTGACATTTGGACTCTATGGGGCATGTCCCCTTTCTGTCTCCTTTCTGAGCCCCTCTTTTCCAGGCACTCCCTGTCTCTTCTCTCCCAGTGTGGCATCCCCACACTCTTAATTGACCAGTCTTTGGTTTCCTCCATGGTTCCCCATCACCTGTGCTCTCCCATGCTGCTAGCTGCTTCCTGGCTTATTAATTCCAGCAGGGAGAGCAGTGAAGAATAAAACAAGAAGAGAAGGGCAGACCTGGCCTCCCAGCCTCACTGTAATGGCCAGAGGTGAGAACTACAGCAAAATTAAAAATTATTGTTCAGTCTGAGCTAATTTGGGAAAAGATGGAGCAAAATCTGGGAGTATTGCCCCAAAACAGGACTGTTGGCAAGTATTAAAATGTAGATGTTAATGACATACAAAGGATCGGAGCAAAGAAGTAGTATTATTCACTGTTTACAGATAGTAAACTGAGACACAGGGAGATTAAGTGACTCACCCAAAGTCACATAGGAAGTCTCTGATAGAGATCAATAGTGCATCTGACTATCTGAATCACAAGCATGAATCTAGCCTCATTTAGAAAGAGCTGCAAGCACATATATTTACCTGTGCCTTCTCATATTCTAGATTGATCAAACTATAAAATCTTTTGTTCCTGATTGACCACTTAAATTAAAAGCTGTGCGCAGAGAGAAACATGGTATTCTGTCTCTCTTGTTTATATAGTTAATGACTCCTATTTAGCCTTGTAAAGGTGCCCAGATACTTTATAAATGCTTATAATAACAACAACCATATACTATTTTATGTCTTACTGTAGCCCCTGTACTTTGTTACAACAGGTAAAGGTACACAGACCTGGAAAAGTACAGGCGCAATATATAATGGTGACTGGAAGTTTGGAAAACGGGATGGATATGGAACATACAGCATTCCTGATCCTGTAACTAAAGAATACAAGAAAGTGTATTCAGGCTGGTGGGAAAATGACAAAAAATGTGTAAGCGATCTTTGTTTCAAGTCTTTTACTTGAAATTACCTCTCAAGATTTTAGCAAGTGGCAGGAGACGATCTCATGTTTTGAAATTAGTCCAAAATCATGGGGGAGATTTGGAAACAAAATAAAACAAACAACAAAGCTTAAAATGTTGATTTTAAAATTACATCTGTAATCTGAGGCTAAACTGAAGGTATGAAGAGACTTTCAGGAAAGAATGCATGTGAGACCTATGAAAGCATAGTGAGGCTGTTATTATTTAGAGCTTTCTTGGCCTGCCAAGGTGGATGGCTGAAAGTATGACCTTCCCTCTCCCCTTAGCTCCCAATGTTCTTGCAATTCTGTGTATGCTTTTGGTTTCCAAAACAAAATGCTTCAATGCTTTGTTTATTTTTTCTATTAGATACCATAGAAGATTTAATCTCAAAGCTTGCAGTGGACATATAATATCTTGTGATTGCTGGGAGAAGGAACGAGATTAAGCTCTCCTCTGGGTTTGAATTTTGTTTACATTTTAAATTTAATTTTGTTCTGTTGAAAAATTGACACCCCTGGAGACTAAAATCCTTTCTCCATAGAAAAGGCTCACCAGGGGCAATAGCAGTTACCTGATTGCCTACAGTGGCCTTTCAATACGTCTCTGCCCTATAGACAATTCAGTTTTCAAGGTCATTGGATCCTTGGTCTCTATTGAAATTCCCAGCAAAGAGGAGTAGTTGTAGTGGTGATCTTTTAAATGTGGGCACCTGTCCACTGACAGCTGGAGTGAAATAATATATAACCAAATAGCTGTCATATCATGACTACAAACCTGGGTCACATTCAAAACTAGAAGCAGAAAGACAAAAAGGTCTGTATCCCTCAACACGTCCATCTAGTTTCTACTATATTTGAATTGGTCAGAGGAAACTTGTTAAAAAAGCATGTATTGAAAGTGTTGCAAGAAGGCGCAGCTTCTTAAAATAGCTTCTTTAAGGGTCGATAGAGTATATTAGAACTATAACACGGGTCCTTTTGGAAACCAAGAGACTACTCAAAAAGGTCAGTGTTTCAAAGAGGGTCATTCTTCATAACAGGAAAACCACCTTTGTAATAATGATTGCAACCTTCTTACATGCAGAATCTTTTTGAGAAATATTTCCTGGTCTGCTAGTGAAAACTTCCTGTTATTCTTTGTATATGATCTTAAAATAAATTAACTGTCTTATATATCTAAATGGCAGGCACTTCCATGGCTCTAGACTCTTGAGGGAGGCCTCATTTCTCATTCTTTGAAAATATATTTTGAGTGGTTGACCTTCAGTGAGTGATTTGTAATGACATCCTGATGCTGCTATTCCTTTACTTATATAAAAGCTTCCCATTTGCATTCTTGAAGCTCAATAAAATTAATATTCAGAAAAATCAATTCTTTCAAGAACTGATTTTATTTTTCTACTGAGATAAGATACTTTATTCCTCTGGGGAAACTCATCAATATCATGTAAATGTTTCTGACTGATAGGAATCCCCAAAATAGGGCATGCCTTTTGAGACTGCTTTTTGGCTTTTCATAACAGGTGAACACATTGTTTCCTGTGTAAAATAAAATGTGTGGCCTTAATCAAGGAGTCCATTAACCACAACCCACCACTGGCACCAATTGATTGTCAACTTCAGAAGCAACACTAAGGACTGAACAGGTTATGGAGACTGCATCACCGCAAAAAGTAGACCCTTCATGACAAGATTGAAACACATGGCAGGGGGCAGCATGGATGAAGCTTGGATTGATGTACCTGTTGTATGGATAAACAGAATACTTCCCTCTCCATGGCTATCAATACAACAACTTTTGACAGTGCTAAATTCATTATTAAATCTTTAAAAAATAAAGGAAGGAAGCACAAAAGCTTTTGAGGGGAATTTCATGTTTTTATGATTTTTTAGGGGGGGGTAAAGAATCAGGGAACAGTGCAGATTCTCTGCTCTGAGCTAAAGTGGAACTGAGTTTTCTGTTTCTGTGCTGCAGTCTTTGTTAGGTTGTTTTCTCCTCAAACTGTTGTGTAGTAGTTACTGTAGGTGTTTTCTGAGGTGGCAGCTTACAAGATAATGTGTTATTAATTGGGAGCACTAGAATGGAACAGTCAAATTCTGGTTCTCCAAGATTTTCTGATTTTCTCCAATTAATGGTCTCCTTTCTGAATAGTGGAAATTCTTCTGCTTTTGTTGTTGTTTTATCCTTTTTATTTTTGGATTTTATGTAGTAGTAATAAAACACAAAGGAAAGAAAGGCGGTTGGACTGCAGGAGAGGAGGAACTTCCTGTTCCATTTCTCCCATTGATGATGCCAAGTGGAGAATCCCACACCACCTCAAAATTGAAGGCTTGTCTACATAGGGACAGTCAAGATAACTTCACACCAGTAGTTAATTTAAGACACTTGTGGGTGTTCCTCATTCAGATGTAAAGTGGAGTTAGTTTGCTTTATTTTAGGGGATTAAGATGAAGTGAACTAAAGCTACTTCACTCCTGAATGAGAGCATCCGCAGAGGGGTTTAATGCATGTTAATATCACATCATTAGTTAATTAGTCTTAACTTCCCTGAGTTTCCCTATATAGATAAGCCCTGAGAGAAGATCCAGGAAAACGAGTGTTTGCTCTTGGCCCTGCTAATATCTCATTTGCTTTATCCTGTTATGTATAGCAGTGCAGGAGAGGCACAGGAATCTCACTGAAGCTTATACACACACCCCATTCCCGTGGGACCACAGAACAAAGAAGGTGGCAGGAGACAAATTGGTGGGCAGAGAAGCTCAGGAGCAAAAGAAGGAACCATTTTGTGGATTTATGTGGCTATTTGACAAAAAGATTAGTTATGGAACCATATGTGTATCTGCAAATTGGCATTATACATAGGATCCTGGGCTCTGCAGAGACTCATAAGGCTATTGGAGTATGGAGAGAGGATATAAAACTGAAAAAAGGAATGAAATGGTAAAAGTCCTGACAGTGAGACTTTTCCCTGCATCTTTAGTATCTAGTAGAGATCCTTAGTCTCCCAAGAGCCAGTGGTCCATTGCTTGGGACTAGAAAAGGTACTATATGTCTTGAGGGGCCATAGAATCCCCATTTTAAAGGACATCCCTTATTTGGTGCCCGAGTCTGTATAACAGTAAGACCCAATTTGATCATACACTATGATATAAATTTATGATTTTGTCCTGTGTAAGATTTTGTAACAGGAATTGTCAGGTGGAGTCCCTTAAAAATCCTTTGTCCCTGACAGTTGTCCTTTATTTCCTTGAAACATAGGTTATAGGGATTGATCCTGCATTGGCCAAAGGCCCTCACGGTCAGGACTAGGTTATTTCCTGCGCTGATTTCTGCATTTCTAAAATGACAATGCATTAGACTTGGCCAAACCTGCATTTGTTTTGGAGACTGTCTCTCCTTCCATACATGGGTTTGTGCTTTCACTCTTTTCTTATAAAAATATAACCTATTTACACTGTTTTGAATAGCTTCTGAGTCTGGATGCCATTAGTAATGTATACAAATAATCATGAGCAAGTTAGTGGCAGACCAGAGAAAAGAACCCAGGAGTCCAGACACTTGTTTTTAATGCAGAGACTGTCAAACTGAGAGCTGTAACCTTGTAATTTTAGGGCTATGGAATTAAGTTTTACTCGGACATGGAATATTATGAAGGGGAATGGAGTGGCGGGAAAAGAAGCGGCTGGGGCAGAATGTACTACAAGGATGGATCCATCTATGAAGGACAATGGTTGGAAGACCAATGCAGTGGCCAAGGAATGCTTCGCTTAAGTAGGTTCCAACAGCTTCTACACTTGAGACATTTGCTGGAACTTTGTCTTGACCTCCAGCGCCCCATTTTGTCTTGATATCTAGGTAATACCTCCACCAACCCTAAGTATGACCTATTAGGGGTGTGGATTCCTCCCCAAACCTTTTCCCCCCAGTTTTGGTCTTGGATTCCAGGGGGGAGGGGGGAAGCATCTGCTGGATGGCATTGTTTTAGCTCTTTGCTCCATGAAGATGGTGAGCTAATGCTACCCCTATACAGCTCTGAGTATCTCAAGCCAACACACATGTAATTTATACTTAGTAAATTGCCAGAATGGGCAGAGAGGCAAGTTAGAGGATGTACTACTTGTATGAGTAAAGAACAAATCTCTCTGTGATCAAACCAAATGCTTTGCCAAACACAATTTCTAACTGGTGCATCTGACAAGAAGTTTGGTTTCTCCAGTATTTTTTCCCCCACTTTGTGTTTATTTTGCTTTTCTTTAAAAGGATACAACTTTTTGTTTGTTTGTTTGTTGTTGATTGTTAATCAATGGTTTTAAACATCATCCCTCTCCAAAGCCCTGTGCTCATTGGGATGAGTTCCGAACAAACACAGGGGATCTTCAGGGCTCAACACTGACCCAGAAATAACACAATATGTATGAATTGGAAATTTCAGGGAGAGTCTCATCATAAAAGTAGATTTTTGGATTTTTGGTTTGGTTGGAGTTTGATCAAATGTAATCTAAAGATAAGAATCCCAATCTTTCTCAAATAGAAGATTTTGTGTTTCAGGAAGATTTTAGAAGGAAATATTATCTCCAGTGTTATGTGGGTCTTCATCTAATTGTTTCCCCAAGTGAATGCCATACTAGTAAACTGATAAAGCAAAGCAGCTAGGCAGTGTAAGCAATACCTTTAATATGCATTAATATACACACCAGAGCTATCACCTTTGCTATACACGTAAATTCACATTAGACAAATGGTTCATCTTTGTTAAAACAACACCAACAACCAACTTTCCATATATAAGTCACACAGCTCATCTGCTTCACTCCTCCTCTAGTTTATAAATTAAATGCCTCAGTTACTAGTCAGTACCCTTCGTCTCCCATTGAAGCCTAAAAATGATCAAGACCAAAGTAAAAACAAGGATTTTGTAATAAATTACTTTGGGGTTGTAATCATGTTATATAACGTGTATTATGTAACTATATACATACCATTTACAGATGGATTCCAGTAATTTCTAGCTGGATGCTGATATCTCAAACAATGCCTCATTACAACTCTTTTAGCATAATAAACAAAGCTGATAATTAACACCACTGACCCACTTCTTTTTGCTGATGATGGGAACTCACCTTGAAGCACTCCTTCCACTTATAGTAATCTACAATATTAACAAATTTAACCAGGCATCATGTTCTGAGCATTAATTGATAACACAGCACTGGCAGTTGAGGGCCACAATTTTTTAACTATGTGAAGGCTTCAGGTTTGACATGCCTATATATGTTTAAAAAGTTGATTTTTAAACATTTTCTCTAATATTCATAGCTACATTATTATTCTCAGTTTGTCATGTTTGGTACCATTGCATTTGTGGGAGAAAGGGCTTTAGAATTATACCCAGTTTGACCCATTTCTGACACAGTATTGTCAAAATTTCCACCAGCTGGAGGATATGGAGCTGGGAGCCAGGGAGCAGCATGTCCCCTTGTGACACTGCAGAGGGTAACACCATTGAAATTATGATTTTGTAGATTTTTGCAAATCAAATGACACCTCCCTTACCTTTATGTCATTAACTTGCCCACACAATTACACGTGCTCCCAGCCTATCAAGGCTGAGTCATTGGCTGCTGTCTTCTCTCTGTTTCAAAGCCCAGAGACTTCTGTCACAGCCTGGATCTGATTATAAGCTGGATTCCTTGTGGTTAAAATTAGCCAGCACAATTATTTCATGCCCACAAGCTTAATATATTCAGCTCAGTCTCTGGAAACATGCCCACGTGCTGAAAGCTTTGCAATGGGGAAAGAAAAGCAGTTCTTCAATGGAGGTCATGATGAGCTGCAACCCAAGATTAAATTGCTTATACTGGCAGAATGCCTGGAGAGGATGATCTTAGACTAGGGAATCACACTGATTTACTGGCTCAGTTATAGTCCATTACAGGAAGGTTTTAAACCAAACCATGGCAAATGTACAACAGAGACCAAGGCTATGAACAATAGTGTTTCAACTGCCATGGAAAGAGTACAGATAGGACTCCAGTATTTCAATTTATCCTGAGTGTTTGATAGAATGGGGCTATCAGGGCCAGCCTCGTGACTTGCTGGGTCTCCAAGCGGCTGGGACAAGAGAACAGAAAGGATCAGAGCCTGAGTGGACCTTCTGGCTGTCTAGGTGCTGGATGAAACTTCATTAAATGTGGCATCCTCATTGTCCCTGGCTCCCTTCTACAAACCCAACCTAATCTATCTGTGTAATATCCACCTTCAAAAGGGCATTCCACTTTCTATTCTGTTGCCTTTACCACATGCTGACAATTCCCAAATACCCTAATGTTCTCTGCAGTGTTAGTCCAAAAGTGTCACCACCACCACCAATGCAAAGGTTGCTGGAGTTCGCCTGGACCACAGGTGCTGCCAACCAATGTTATAAGTAATGTAGACAAAAATTAACACTATTTCTGAGGGGGTGTGTTGTGGCCAGAAACACTGCAGCTGGGAAAGACAGGCTCAAGAGCAGCCTGTTATGAAATTATCATGAAGGTGACCCCGGTAATATTCCAGCATCCCTCAGAGCTGAAGTCCTAGGTGACTGCCATAATCACAGATCTAATGCCACCCCTGTGAAGGCTCTCTCATTTCCTTGCAGCTCTGTATTGTGTGTAGGTGGCACTGTTTCCTGTCCATCATGGTCTGAGTCTTAAACAATATAGAGTATAAAACTGTGTAAAAAAGAGTCTTACTTCTGTATGCAGAAAAATTGTAGGAGGTACAGTAGAGCTGAGCAAATAAATTGTACATGTAATTTATCTAACAAATGTATTTTTCTGTGCATGAAATGTCCATGAACAAATCACATTTTCTGTGAATATTCTTGAACGGTGGTTCATTCACAAGAAGTTAACTGCAAGTATTTGAAATTCAGATTCTTTTGATTAGACACAAAGGTCACCCAATATCTTCCTGTTTCCTGACTGCATGAGGAGAATTCTTAGAGCCAGGATTCCAGTGTGAATAGTTGTGATTATAGATCTGAATTTGTATTCCCTAACTTTTCTGCAACATTTGTTTAAAATTTGCTATGCCTCGGCACTAAATGTGTTTACTTAGAATATTTGTGGAAAGTGAATACAACATGCATGTGAACACAGTAAAGTGAATCAATGCAACACTTAAAATAAGTATTTGTCTACATTTTTGCTCCATTACGTTTCCCCTTATGGATGGAGCCAGGCAGAAGTTTTATGTATATGTTGGCTTATCCGTGTTTTGTTGATTTGTTTAATTTCTAGTCACCTAGTGAAAATGTGCACCCTTTCATTGCCTGTCCACATCTTTATTTGACCCATTACAGCAAATGAAAATCGGTATGAAGGAACGTGGAAAGAGGGAAAGAAACACGGCCTAGGAAAGTTTTTCTACCTGAATAAAGGCCAGTTGTTTGAAGGTTTCTGGGTAGCAGATATTCCGAAGTGTGGAACTATGATTGACTTTGGACGAGAAGAAGCTCCTACTCCTACGCAGTATCCAATACCCAAGGTAACTCTGCTTGGAAATTTAACCTTTGGTGTTTTCACAGACAGCACAAATTACAGCTGCCACCATTAGATTTTAAGCCATCTAAGTAGCATTTCTTTCTTCTTTGAGTGATTGTGTCCACATGGGTTCCTCACTCAGTGTGTGTATGGAGGGCCGGCTCCAGGCACCAGCTTAACAAGCAGGTGCTTGGGGCAGCCAAGGGAGAGGGGCGGCACCTGCGGCAATTTGGGGGCGGCAGGTCCCTCACTCCCTCTAGGAGCGAAGGACCTGCCGCTGAACTGCCGCCGCCAATCACGGCTTTTTTTTTTTTTGCTTGGGGAGGCAGAAATGCTGGAGACGGCCCTGCGTGTATGAGCCCCATTGCATGTAAGATTGGATTCCTTTGGCGAGCAATGTCTTTTAGGGCCCCACCTGTGCCCTAGATGTCCTTTTCTAGACCTTTAATCATTTTTGTTGCTCTTCTCTGGACTTTCTCCAAGTTGTCCACATCTTTCCTGAAATTTGACACCCAGAACTGGACACAATACTTCAGGCTTAATCAGCACAGAGTAGAGCAGAAGAATTACTTCTCGTATCTTGCTTATAAGACTCCTGCTAATAAATCCCAGAATTATGTTTGCTTCTTTTGCAACAGTGTTACACTTCTCCCCAGTTCAGGAACCCCCACCCTCTTGGGACCTCAGTATAATATTAACAGGTTGTTGTGTCCCTTCTTTGAGCCCTTAGCACCCTTTACCCTATACCACCTATCAATGAAGGCTGCCCTTTTAGTATCTATTACATCATCTCAAAGGGTAGGGGAGATTCAGTCTCTTATGGTGGGTCCCCTTTATACAGTGTTTCATCCCCAGGCCTCATCCCCAATTCCTAGCCAAAATTGTTTCAGAATTCCATATGAACTAAATTAATTAATCAATTTTCTTCTCCAAGCCTCACTCAGCTCCAAGGAGGGGTGAGGGGACTTCGTATGCTTGATATAGTAAGGGCATTATCATACTACTTTAACAGGACAAAATCATTCAGGAACAACCTAGACTGTTTGTGGCCTTTGCAGATAGGGTTAAGGGTCAGGCAATACATATCCTCACACAGATTATGAAAATGGGACTCCAACTGTATAAGAACATGTTACAAACTAGCCAACTTAGAGCTACTTAGCCACATTACTGCTCATTCTGCTAGGGTTCAAGCAGTCTCTGCTGCCTGGTTGAAGAATGTCCCTATTTCTGAAATGTGTAGGGCAACTATGTGGAGCTCAGTTGACACATTTACAAGACACTATTCTTTGGTAGAAGCTTCCAAGTTGGGTGCCTGTTTTGGTAGAGGTGTCCTGCAGTAATTGTTTAAGTAGGACTCCTCATACCCACCTCCATTCAAAGATTGTTATTTCACCAGGAGGGGAACCCATGTGGCCAATCACGCAAAGAAGAGAGAATGATTATGTGCCTTACCCTAACTATGGTTCTTTGAGATGTGTTGTCCACATTAATTCCACAACCTGCTCTCCTTCCTCACTAATATGGGGAATTCTGTATTGGCAAAGGAACGGAGGGACAGTTGGGGCTATTGCCTTTTGTGCTCTCAGTTGGGGGAGGAGGGGAAAGCAGGCACAAGAACATCTAGGCACAGCCCCAGTGGACATTGTTGGCCAAAGGATCTTGAACTTGTGCACCAAGAGTGCAATCTCTGTCGTCAACACATACCAAAGAACCAAAGTTACTATAAAGTAATGTTTTTTTCCTCCCTTTGGTACAGTTAACAGAGGTCACCACAAACAATGCTTCACCAACTCAAGCCTCACCAAAACCCAATGTTACATTTTTTCTCTGCTCATTCCTTTGTCTAGTTTACATATCAAGAGCTTTGGGCATTGGTCTTTTTTTATAGGTCTGTAAGTAGTAGGCAAACCCATAGTGCTGCATAAATAATAAACATTGAATGGTCACTATGGAAAAATTGTCTAGATCTTAGTTGCAAAGGAACATTGAGTGACCGGATTTTTTTTTAAAGAGGGGATATAAACCTTCATGTTTCAGGGGATAAACTAACCACTAATTGACTAGGATTAGGATGAAACTTTTCCAGTAGGCAGGTTATTCCATTGTTTTCCATGCTTTGTTTTTTTGCACCTTCCTTAGAAGCAACTGATACCAGCCACTGCCAGAGACAGTCCCCATTTGTTGACTGTAGACAAATAGGCCACAACTCCCCTGTTGTCAAAAATATGCTTGTGACTTTACCACATTTTTCCTCTCTAGTCTGTTAACAGGATCTACAAGTCAACATCTACCATGCAAACCACTGTGGCAGGCCTGGGTTATACTTTGTCTAGACTATGTACGTGCTAAGGTGGCACCCACACAGCCTATACATAGATAGTAAAACGGAGAAGTAAAAAACGGTTACTCACCTTTTGTAACTGTCGTTCTTCCAGTTGTGTTGTTCATATGCGTTCCAATTAGGTGTGCGCACGCCGCGTGCACGGCTGTTGGAAAGTTTTTCCCTATCAGCATCCATCGGGTCAGCTGTGGAGCTCCCTGGAGTGGCGACTCCATGGCGCTCAATATATGACCCTGCCGACCCGGTGCCCCCTCAGTTCGTTCTTGCCGGCTATTCCGACAGAGGGGTAGCGGGGCGGGTTTGGAATGGATATGAGCAACACATCTCAAAGAACAACAGTTGCAAAAAGTGAGTAACCATTTTTCTTCTTCGAGTGATTGCTCATATCGATTCCAATTAGGTGATTCCCAAGACTTACCTAGGTGGTGGGGTCAGAGTGAAAGAGTGCAGATTGTAGCACCGTTCTACCGAAGGCCGCGTCGTCTCTGGCATGCTGGACGATTGCGTAGTGCGAGCTGAAGGTATGCACCGAGGACCAAGTCGCCGCCCTGCATATTTCTTGTATAGGCACCTGGGCCAGGAACACGGCTGATGAGGCCTGGGCCCTAGTGGAGTGTGCGGTGAGAGCTGAGGTCAGCACCCCGGCCAGCTCATAGCAAGTGCAGATGCAGGATGTGATCCAGGAGGATATTCTCTGAGAGGAGACCAGGAGGTCTTTCATCCGGTCCACTACCACTACGAATAGCTGGGTCGATCTTCTGAATGACTTAGTGCGTCCGATGTAGAAAGCCAGGGCTCTGCGGACATCGAGGGAATGCAGCTATTGTTCCTGGGGACCAGCGTGAGGTTTCGGGTAAAAGACGGGCAGGAAAATGTCCTGGCTGGTGTGAAAGTTCGACACCACCTTTGGGAGGAAGGCCGGGTGCGGTCTGAGTTGCACCTTATCCCTGTGGAAGACCGTTTAAGGTGGGTCCGAGGTGAAGGCCTTCAGCTCAGAGACTCGTCTCGCGGATGTAATGGCGACCAGGAAAGCTGTCTTCCAGGAAAGATATAGGAGGGAGCACGTGGCCAGTAGTTCAAACGGGGGCCCCATGAGCCTCGAAAGGACCAGGTTAAGATCCCATGCAGGGATGGGCTGACGGGGAGGAGAGGCAATGTGACCGGTACGTCCACTTACAGCTCCAGCAGCCTGGTGTACCAGTGCTGGAAAGGCCATGCTGGAGCTATCAGAATCAAGCGAGGGAAACGTGGAGAACTCGCTAAGCAAGACGCCACAGTTCTAACAACCATCACGGGTGGTAAGAAGGAACTGAGGGGGCACCGGGTCGGCAGGGTTATATATTGAGCACCATGAAGGTGCCACTTCAGGGGGCTCCACAGCTGACTCGATGGATGCTGCTAGGGGAAAGCTTTCCGACGGTGCTCACCTAATTGGAATCAATATGAGCAATCACTCAAAGAAGAATCGATAGGCACTGCTGTCATCATAAAATGAGGAAAGCGTAGAAAGTGTTTTAAAGTATTTAGTGACAGACTGCAGGATAAATTAAAGTCCAGTTAAGAGGGAGATTCTACAGCAGCTCTTGAATAATCAGTGTTTACAAATCTTGAGCTTCTTTAATTATATTGCGTAAAATATTTGTGTTTTTAATTTAGATTGAACTGGCCAATCCAGATGATGTTTTAGAAGAGGCCCAGGCAATGCTTGATGACAGCCAAGAATGAGAAAAGGCTACTGATAAAGATATGAGAAAAGAACACAAGACTCATTGTTACTTCTTCATTTGAATCATCTTTCTAGATCCATGGTATATGAGACGGTGTGTTTTGTAAAGCAGAGAAGAAGCACCCAAACCTACTTTGGTCTCAAGAAATTAATTAGTTCCTCAAAACTGCCACAATGTATACTTCATTCTGAATTTCTATTTGGACAGGATCAATTTTACTGAGGAGTTTGGAAGCTGAGGAGACCTTATAGGAAGAAATAATTCTGCCCATATATAAATTAAAAGTAGGTGTTGACCTCTTTTGACACTATATTATAGAAAACCTATGTCTGATTGTAAACCAATTTCCAGGCTGTTTTAATACCAGATGGCCATGGTCAAGTGGGCTGAAAGCCAAGCACACATTAGCCATACTTTCAAGTTCTAGTCGCAAGAATTAAAGTCATGGCACTCTGAATTAAAGTAATTCTGGAAGGTCTGTATTTTTATTTTCTTCAAACCATAGCACTAACTCAATGTAATGCTAGTGCTACTGTTCAAATTAAAAACAGACTAGTACAGATGGGTCAATGGAGATACTTGCTGGCATAGATGTCAGCCTGGTATTGCAGAAAGAGGTGCATTCTGCTGGTGGCTGCAGTTAGGGTTTTTATATGGGCTTGCTTGACCTTGCCTTCTATACATTCCAAGAGTATTAATTTAGTTTACAAATTTCTGTACCTAGGGGTAGCTTTATTGGAACTAAGAATCATTTTCATGCTGCACTGAACACCATTTCAAAAAATTAAATGAAAATGTGAGATGGAAGCTAGTTTGCAGCCAGACACAGGACTGCCATACTGTAGTGTGTTACAAAGAGGTAATTTTTCAGCAAAACAGCCATTCCCAAAACACTACCCATAAGTGCCAGGTTTACAGTAATGCCCGTTAAGTTATGGGGAGATGATTTATTCCCAAAGTGACTTCTAGTCTTGATCCAAAAGGCTGCAGGTTTCATACAAGAAATTCCTTATAATCCTACAGAAGTATTTTCTAGCTCAGCTTGAAAGGGAGGTAATAGCTGTGATGTTGCACTTTATATGATTTTATGAAAATATGCTAATGAGTGAATATAATGTAACTGGAATATGCTTCATGAAAAAGGTCTCTTGTAAGGTATCATTACAAAGCTTATAATCTACTGAGTGTGTTCATCCTATTTGTATGAATGTATCATTCTTGTATCTGAAACTAGAAATATGAACTATAACTCTGAGGGCCTATTGTAATTATGCAAAGTGTGGGCCATTAATGGTGGTTTGGAATCTTGATGGCTCCCATCAACCAGGACAATTGACTGTGGATGGCTGTTTGCAGGCAGGTCTTCCTGAGAGTCAGGCTAGGAGGAATGAAGGCTTGAGGTCTTACAGTGCCATGTGATCATGTCACCTGAACTGGAATCCATCTTTAACCTGGTGTTTTTCCATTGAGAAAGAGGGGTGGAAACCCAGAGGGACAAAGGATTCCCGCCTTATGCAAAAGATATATAAGTGGGTGGAACAGAATAAGGGGGCAGCCATCATGAGAAATCCACTAGCTACCACCTGAGCTGGAACAAGGTCTGTAGCAGGGGAAAGGATTGTGCCCAGACTAGGAAGGCATCCAGTCTGTGAAAGAAACTTATTGAAACATCTCTGAGGGTGAGATTTTAGCTGTATTCAGTTTTCTTACTATATTAGGCATAGACTTGCAGGTTTTATTTTATTTTGCTTGGTAATTCACTTTGTTCTGTCTGTTACTACTTGGAACCACTTAAATCCTACTTTCTGTATTTAATAAAATAACTTTTTACTCATTTAACCCAGAGTATGTATTAGGGGGGGTGCAAACAGCTGTGCATGTATCTCTATCAGTGTTATAGAGGGTGAACAATTTATGAGTTTACCCTGTATAAGCTTTATACAGGTGAAACAGATTTATTTGGGGTTTGTACCCCATTGGGAGTTGGGCATCTGAGTGTTAAAGACAGGAACACTTCTTAAGCTGCTTTCAGTTAAGTCTGCAGCTTTGGGGCACGTGGTTCAGACCCTGGGTTTGTGTTGGAGCAGGCTAGTGTGTCTGGCTCAACAAGACAGGGTGCTGGAGTCCCAAGCTGGCAGGGAAAGCAGGGGCAGAAGTAGTCTTGGCACATCAGTTGGCAACCCCAGGGAGTATCTTTGATCCAACCCGTCACAATAGCTATCTATTATTCTGCCCTGTCACAGCTGAAGAGGGTTTCTCCCATCAAAGCCCAAATGAATTGGCTTTTGGTAGGTGAACTAGATATGTAGGGGCTGCCCAGAATAGAATTCTTCCCACATTTTGGGGAGCCACACCTATCACCCACAGACTCTAGCAGCCACAGCCCTCCACATTCCCTCAAGTTTTTTGGCCAAAAGATTCTGAAGTTTAGTTGGTCTGGTCACACCTCCACCCTCACTTCCACAGAGTAAGCTATTGCAGAGGACAGCTCTGTGAGATGCAGAGGGGAGGGAGTATAGTTCCCTTGCCCAGCATCCCCATGGCCCGTCCTCCCTGCACAGAGGAATCACCGTGTTTCCGTTAGTCTCACAGCCTTTTGTGCCTGCCTAGGGGAGATGGAAAGCTGGATTTCCCTTACATACTCCATAGTAAGCTATAATGAATTTTCAAAAACATGTTTTGAAATACCCAGTCCTCTCAAGAACTATGTATAGTCTTAAGTACAGTGGTGGCTTCTACTAACAGTTGGTGCTCTAGATAAATGTCATTAAGGAGGCCTGAGAATCCCTCTGTGATATCAAAATGCACATCTGGTAAATAGAAGGCAAATTATAAGCCTAGCTCTACCACCACCTCTCTCTCTCTCTCTAGCCTTCAGTAAGTCACTTACCCCTAGAGCAGTGGTTCTCAACCAGGGGTCCGGGGCCCTGTGAGGGGCCACAAGCAAGTTTCAGGGGGGCCACCAAGCAGGGCAGGCATTAGACTTGCTGGGGCCCAGGATAGCAAGCCAAAGCCCCACTGTATGGGACTGAAGCACAGGGCCCGATGCCCTGCCACCTGATGCTGAAGCCGATGCAACTTAGCTTCACGGGGCCTCCTGTAGCATGGGGCTTGGGCAGTTGCCCTGCTCGCTACCCCCTAATGCTAGCTCTGACTTTTACATGTAGAAAAATAGTTGTAGCACAGGTGGGCTGTGGAATTTTATAGCATGCTGGGGGGGGGCTCAAAGAAAAAGGTTGAGAACACCTGCTGTAGAGTACACATCATTAGGTTCAAGTCAAAGGCGGCATGCTAGTTTACATTAGATGTTTCCAAACTGGTGCAAGAGATATATGTACCTTTTGCAGAGCACTGCTATAAGGTTTCATATGTGTAAAGCACACAAGTGCCATGTTACATCAGAACGTCTGAAGCTGATTAATGAAAACCAAAAACCACTGTTAATCAGTTACTATGGGATTAGCTCATCTGATTTACACTGCACTTCTGAATATCAATAAAAATGAGAATATATTTTTGTTGAGGGTTCATTCAACGGACTCCCCAAAGTCTAACTTAAGTAGGAGCCTCCTTTAAAAAAAAAAAGTAGTGAGTAGAGAACAATATCAAGGTCAGGCTTAATCCCAAGAATAAAGCAGTGTTAAAGTGAGGAAAGAGACTGTGACTACATTATTCTCTTTATGCTATTTGTGGAGTCGGGAAGGGTTTTGTCTACACCTGGTAGCCCATGGACCATATTACACTCAAAACTCTGAATGATGAATCACTGAACACTTAAAAGGATATCTTCATGAAGCTGAGATTATTACTGGCACCGTGTAACTAAATGGAGTAAAATGAATGACAGTTACAAAACAAGAAGTTTGTCAGATGTCTTGGTGGCAAGACAAATTATAAGCATAATTTATTTCAATTTTAAATCTAAATATAATATATACAGTAACTGATGTTTAAACTGTTTAAAGTAAATGCTTAATACCATTAGTATAACAAGGGATCAAAATAAAATTGAGTGCACTCTACTGAGTGCAGAACATCATGAGTTCTGGTCTTTATTTGTGCCTCTGCCACGCAGTTAATATGTGATTTTGCACAAGGCACATCTTTTGTGCCCATTTCCCCAGTTGAAGAATGGGGGAAATACATACATGAGCTGTGCCTAAAGGCTTAAAGTGCAGTTATGGTCAGAAAAATGACTAGTAATAGCTCTAATTTAAAAGGAATCCAAACAGCTTAAAAAAATTAATAAGGTGCCCTGTTTACCTTGTACTTTTACAAACTCATATTTTCTATTTTTAAACGTTTTCCTCTGCTGTTGCTTTGTGAAAGACTCACAGAATAGGGGAAAAGTGACCTATCCAGGAGAAACAATGAAAGTGACCTCCTTCTACACACACCCCTTGGGGGGGGGGAGAAATTATTTATTTTCTATCCTCTTTCATCTATAGTAATTTTTAAGAGTTATAAGTTGTAAGGTACAAAGCTTTCAAAAAAGTGTAATTTTATTTAAACTTGATAGTGTCCTTTAAGATATTTGCTCCAGGATGCTTACTTTACCACAGCTTTCTAAAAGTCTATTTTCCCAGGATAAGTAAGGTATAATTAGATTTATCATTGTCAACAACTCAGTAAAGGATTGGCAACTGGGTTTTGTGCTCAAGCTGGTAAATTTTCATTACCATTTCAGAATACCGTTTACTAAAGTTTTTACTAATTTAATCCAATTAGCACTGCAGGAACAAACAGTTGTGGAACAGTGAGTGGAATTCTGCTCATCAATTATTATATTTCAGTGGCAAAAATACAACTGGTAATGTCAAAACCAGAGAGAATTTCTGTTTGACTTTCATACCCAGGAGTTTTGGGGGATGGCAACTCCAAATTTATTTTTTTGCTTATGAACAGAGCACAATAGGGGCAAAAATGTCACTCAGATATAGCCACAGCACTTGGGATACAATTTTTAAAGTAATTTTTCAGAATATAAACTGCACTTTGGGTCCA